AGAGCACAACTCTTTGTCTCCACCTGTTGATGGCATTAGTCAGTGGATTCATCCTCTGGGACCACGCATGTCTGTACTAACTGTCATATTGCTCCATCTAATAGTGTAAAAATACTTGACTCTGGTGACTACTTTAACTGTGGCTTTGTGTCTTTTGCAGACTTGTAACCAGCTGGAGGTACTTAGTGGTCCGGCCTCCAGGAAGGGACCCTTTGGGGAGGGCGACAGCCAGACCATGAGTGAGATTTCTTTTTTATTCTTACAGTAAAACACCACTGATCATGGCATCTGGCTAGAAGCGGGAAGAATCCATTGTGTTTACGTCACATCTATACCTCGCTGAGAAAAGATTAAAGCCAAATTATTAATAACTCAGCACATCCCAACTGTCAAACTGTCATAATCCTCAATGTCACAATGGTCTTAGTATTAGTAAATCTGACAGGTTTGTGCTGTCATTGTCAGAGAAAGCCATGGCGGTGGCTCAGCACCATGACGCAGTGTCGGGCACAGAGAAGCAACACGTAGCAAACGACTACGCCAGGAGGCTAGCTAACGGCTGGCAACATTGTCAGGTATTTGAAGCTTCACACGGCATTATCTTGCTCAACGTGATCCTGTATAATTATGTACTAATATTTTGAGTTAATTTGCTACTGTAGTAGAGTCTTTGTATTTTCTGTACAGGAGTGCAACAGTGTTTTCAGAAACAGTGTAATCCACAGACCTCATCCTGAACAAAATGAAACTGAAATGTTACTTTTACTAAGCAAATGATTTAGCTGAAACTACTTGTTATATTATGTACTTTTTATGTCCATTGTTTTGTGGATTTGTGGAGAATGTAACGCACCTTTGATTTCCCTCTCAGGTTTTGGTCAGTAACAGTCTGGCTGCTCTGAGTGGCTCATCTGCTGAGCGAATGTACTGTGACAACCTCAACATCAGTGTGTGTCCTCTCACCGAGTCCAGCAAAAAGGTGATACAGACATACACAACATACACTTGCTGTCATTGATTTTTACTACTAGATGAATTCTGCTAACTTTCAGAACTCAGCCATAACATAATCTAATTCAAACTATAAAATCAAGTCTTAAACCAAACCATTGGCCCCCATATACACAACAAAGGCACACACATACACACACACACTCATGGAGACTGGATATTAGACATTTCTTTGTGGAATCTTCCAAGACATGTTTGTAAATAAATGTGAATCTTAAATGAAAAAGGATATCTAGTGTAAATCTGAACTATATATACACTTATTAATATAACATACAATACACAATATTAATATTGATAATATTGATTACTATAACAATGCTCAACCTCACCCCGTCTTTCTCAGTTTTCAGTCAACGTTTACAACCCTCTCGCTCGCCCAGTCACTTGGCCGGTCAGGCTGCCGGTGAATGGAACAGCATACGTCGTCTCAGATGCTAACGGCAAATCTGTGGACTGCCAGGTCAGTGTGTGCGACAGCATTAAGTACGAGGATCCCAGGATCCCATAAGTAATCCACTTCCTACAGGATTCAGTTTATACTTTTATTCCTAATCCTTTTGTTTTAAGATTTAAATCTCTTTTCTTTCCACTGGAAATGTGAAGCTCTCTCCGTGTCTGTGTTCCAGGTGGTTCCCGTGTCCGCAGCCACCCGGGAGGTGAGGAGAAACCGGGGCTTCGCTGTCAACGAGCTGGTCTTCCAGGTACAGGCTCCACCTCTTGGCTTCACCACCTACTCTGTGTCCCTGCTTCAGGACGGGCCCCCGCCTGCCTCAACGCAGCACCGCACGCCCACGGCCATCCAGAACAAGGTCTTCACCGCAGCACACTTACACTTACACACTTACTCTGTGTTGCACCATGGGAAATAAGTGCATCATGCTTTACAGACAGGAGTCATTTCTTTTTAGCTCTGGATAATTTTAAATGATTTTATTTCAAAAGTTTTCTACTTTCAGAAATTCAGAAAAAAATCATATCATCAATCATATACCATTACAAAATGGGTAACAGACAAACTTACTTGTTCACAGAATGGAGCATTAGAAGTTATTGCGTTGATGAATTTCTTTAAAAAAAAAAAACAGCTAAATGAAGGGCTAATCCTGTACACTTTATACACTTGACTTGTACATGTATGTATGTATGTATGTATGTAAGTAAGTGTTCTCTCTGATAACTTGTGTGTCCACCTGCCCCAGTTCCTTCGTGTGACCTTTGACCCCGACACCGGCCTCTTGAGCAGCCTCAGCAACCTGGAGACCAAACAGACCATCAAACTGACACAGAATTTCTACTGGTTAGTGTCTCTGACTGAATTACACACAAACCCACCTGCAGATGACCGTTTGTGTAACCTGCTGTTTATTACAGGATTATTTTTAATGTGCGTTTCTGTGTGTTGCATGTTCCAGGTACAACGCCAGTGACGGTAACAATTCACAGAGTGACCAGCCTTCAGGTGCCTACATCTTCAGACCCAACTCCTCCACACCCTTCCTCATCAGCAAGACGGCCAAGACGGAGACCATTCAGGTGGAGAGCGAGCAGCATTGCAGCCACATTTACATTCAGCTTTATCCCATCCTAACCCTCATTAAAATGTTAGGTTTAATTAAAAAAGGACAATTGAGTTGATTACATGGCTTTATTTTGATTTATTCTACGTATTCATAAATAACAGGCTGCTGTTTGTATCGGATGATGTCAGGCTACTGTGATTTCAAATCCAATAATTACCACCAGTCTGCGTCAGAAAGATGTTTAAAAATGATTATTAATGTATGTTTGATCCATCCCCCGTCCCTTCCCTCCAGACCTCTGGTGTGCAGGAAGTGAGGCAGTGGTTTGCTCCCTGGGTGTCTCAGGTGGTTCGTCTCTATACCGACAGCAAAGCTCTGGAGCTGGAGTGGACAGTCGGACCGGTGCCCATTGAGTGAGTGTGTGTTTGTCACATACACAGTAAAGTGGTTAGTCTGCGTATATGTTGGCACATGTACAGGCACAAACATTTTATTTTTAGGCTGCATTTGTAGGGATTTTGACTATTTCATTGTTCATTGTTTCATTTATATATGTGTTCGTTTGTAGTTCTGATCATTTAAGTGCTGAATCGTGGCCAACATGCCTCGCTTCATCTCTCACTCTCTCTCTTTATCCATCAGTGATGACCTGGGGAAGGAGGTGATCACCCGTCTAGACACCAGTATTAAAACCTCCCAATATTTCTACACTGATTCCAACGGCAGAGAGATGCTGCAGAGGAAGTAAGCTTGATAGATTATTTATTTTTATGTTGAAAGTAACATTTAGCAGATGTTACTTACAGTTTTTTAAAGGTCCCATATTTTATAAAGAGTTTCCCATGTCGTTTGTGATTATAAAGCAGGTCTAGGTGCTATATAAATACTTTGAAACTATCAAAAGGCTCCATCCTCAGAAAAATGCACACAGCCTGTGTTCAGAAATTGTGCCTATAAATGAGCTGTCAGGACTTCCGTAAGGTTGTGATGTCTTAACTATACAATGACTGCCCTCAGCCATGACCCCAGCACGGCCCAGCATGCCTGTGGTTGGCCTGGTGCATCAGTCAGAAAACAGAAAGCCAATCAGAAAAGAGGCTGGTTATTGTTAATGACGCAACACACAACACCTGGTTCTTGCTAGAGCTCTAGGGCGAAGCGTGAGAATGGAGATGTAAAACTATATTGAGATAGTTTTTGGTACTTCAATTGGTTCTAATTTGGTACAAATATATCTTCTTATGGATATCCAGACATCAAATAAAACACCAGAAAAGTGCAAAATAATGGGACCTTTAAGCACACATAGAAAACGATTTACAGATAGGTCATTTTGCATAATCAGTCAACAATTGATCATGATCGCACTTACACTTAGACAGCCACAGGCTATAATACATGTACAATACTTGACCAGCTGTTGTTACCAAATTTGTACAAAGTCGTGATGTGTTTTATCCCCTGCCGCCCATATCATAGTGTCTTGTTACAAATGAGCAATTATTAACCAGGATGAATTAATTGTTCCTCTGTGGTGACTACCCAGTAATTCAGGATTGTCTCAAACAACTCCCCTGGACATTTATCCCTGCCTGTTTGTAGAAATGAGAAACCTTGATTCCTGGTGTGACACCGTCAGGTACTTCAGAGTTTGAACTCTAACTGAATAAAATTTAAGGGAAAATTTCAGTAAAACCAGATCTATAATCTTATTTGTTTTTTTGATATGTCAGATAGTTCCTGGTTTAAATGTTTGACTATTTTATTCAAAGTTCTTCATAGTATGGCTGATGGGTGTTGGCAGTGTTTTAAGTTGACAGTGTTTTCAACATTTGGGGAAATATGCTTAATTGCTTTCTTGCTGAGACTTAGAAGATTAATACCACTCTCATTTTCTCATCTAACTCTTGGCAAGAAAGTGACTAAGTATTCCCCGGAATGTTAAGCTATTCATTTCATTTTTGAGACCCAAGGCTCTCTTGGTTAAACGAACAAAAGATTTTTACAGAAAAACATGTTTAGGTCCCTCAAAGTAAGATATCGTTTTGGTATTGATGCCAAACATTAGGTATCATATCAGCATTAGTATAAACAATATTAGATTTTAGAGCTGTGTTGTTGTGGAAGGTTTTTTTTTTTTTAAATACTACCAGTGTGACTAGTGGTGTATGGTTTCTTTTTTCGCAACTTGCTTCTTTTACAGTTACAGCTTCTGAGCAAACCAAACAACTACAACAAGCTTCCAGGATTTATACTACCTCTCTACTATTGTATCCATTCTGACACATAATTTCAGAGTGAAAAAAAAGTATAAGCTGGTGGAGTCAGTGTTATCTTTTGCTTACTATAACACATTAGCAGCAGAAAAGACAGGGAAGATTTTACTAGAACTGAACAAATAGTACAACACATTGTTTATAATTAGATTCAGTCTGAGCAAACATCTGCAGGATCAGCAAGGGACCAAAAACTTGCTTTTTCATGCTGAGAAAAAACTACCCTAGAAAACATAACTACAAGACTGACAATTACTTGTCCAATGTTTTTTCCTTTCCGTTTTTTTAGTGCCTGTCTTGACTGATGTGGCTTGACTTTTCTTTCTTTGAACCTTCGCGACAACCTCTTAAAGCCTTTTTATTTCCTGCCCTTTCACACTGCGGGAGCAATTACGCTGCTTCCATTTCATCTTGCCTATGAGTCCACACTTCACATCTTCTGCACCCAGATGACAGGATGTTGATGAGGAGTTTCGGGGCAATTTCCGAAGTCTGTCTGAACAGCATTGTTTCTTCAAATCCTGCTGACAGCTGGTCCATGCAGTGAGTTGTGTGTGGCCTTGGGTCTCTGCACTGTAAAAGTGAGAACATTGAAGGAGCAGCTACCTTTGAATCCATATGACTTTGTCCCCACTTTGAGGGGAGAGAGTCGTTGTGTTTTGTGTCTGTGTTTGGATTCAGGCTCGTAGTAGCTACCACTGAGGGCACTGAGGTCATGGCCTTTTTGATTTTGATTTTGTAATCACTTTTGCTCTCTAATGCTGCACCTCCATGTATCAGAATATTTGCATACATGAAATGAGGCACAGATAGATACAGTAATTTTGTGTCCAGTGATTATTACCAAAATGTTTCAGGGTTACCTCATTTATTACTATATTCCATTGATCAATAATGAGAAATGACCTCTTCTTTTTATTTTATTGCAAGTAAAAATTACATTTACAGTATTTTATCTCTGTAAAGGACATATTATGTATTGGTCATTTAAAGACATATTAGGCTTGTGTGTTTTTTCAACAATGTTATATAACTTCCTTGAATCTGTGGAACATGTTAGTATTTTTATTTTTTGCAAAGAAATAAGTTATTGTAATTTTACAAGTCAAAAAAAAAATCCCAGCACCTCTTTCTTCCCTTGTATTGAACACACCATTTTTAGTGGGTGTAGCACCAATAAGCAGCAATAAGAAACTTATTTGAAAATAAGTCATTTAAATTGTGCCATATAAATTCCTCATCTATGTGTTGGTGCTGACATTATTTCCTAAGTCATTACTGATGCTTTTTTTACACAATGTAACTGTAAAATGTTCTTAGGGACATGCCCCCAAACCCATAGTGGGACTAGAAATCCTGACCTCAGTATTTCTAAAATCCTGGCTACGTCGCTGTTTAGAACAATACTTTAAGCCTCAAAGGAAAATTCTGATTGTTCATCTTCGAGCACTTAACATTCATCTTCATTTGCATGCTTCTGTGGGAATTCCAAATTAATTCTCTCCTCCTAGAATATTGAAGCTGGCGGCATTGAAACTACAAATATTATCTTTTATTGTGGATATAACGTATTTATGGCTTTGTTTATGACTGTGAGAGCTGATTTGCATAAAAAGAACTATCTGAATTGACCCTCTTTAAGTCAGGCTGCAGAGAACATTTAGTGTAATTTTGGATTGTGCAGACTGTTGGGGTGCTTTGTACAACAAATATATATGAATGCTGTAGACCTCATCTGGCTTACTGTAGATGTACAACTTTCTTTGTGTATTCTGGCTTCTGTGAATGGGTTAAAGACCATACATTATGTCTACTGTATGTGTTCCACCTAATGTCAAATGTAATATGGTGCTTTCTAATAAGGCGTCCTTTACAAAATGGTCATAAGTTGAAAATATGTCTTTATTAATGATAAATAACACTTTCACTGATAAACTTTGGGGTTTTCAGCTTGTGAAAAATAATTTGACTGATTAGACTTGATATAAATAAAACCCTTTTCAATGCCTTGTTAACATTTGTAACTGCAGAACTGAAGAAAAGCAAATTCATCAGGGTAAGCTGAGTACACACTTGAGTTATTAGGCTGTATGCGTGTGCACTGTTTTGAACAACAAACACTTGTTGATTTGAATCAGAAGCCCAATAATAGAGAGACATAAATACCAAATTCCACAAATAAAAAAATTCCCTGTAACAAACATGGACATCGGAACATTTTCAAAATGTTCTTCCTTTTCTTTGTCCATTTACCTTTTAACACACATTATTTTTTTTACTTATTTTCATCATTCTCATTTTACTCTATTTAAATTAACTAATTTGCTTCTATTTAACTTTATCAAACTTCACACTTTTATTTCCCACTCATTTATCTGTCATTATAAATTTTCAATTTTCAGTATTAAGTATGCAGCTGCCTGTATACTAAATGCGTACATTGATACATGGTGCTTTGGAAGCACAAAGTAAAAATCATTAGTGAGAGATGAAAATGTAACAGATTGACCGTCTTGCTTTGTTAAGTTCGTGGGGTGGGTTTTAAACAGCTTTCACACTAACCAAAAGTGGCAGAATTTCTCAAACCTCACAGAAGCATCCATCCATCATAGAGACTGCTGCACTTTACAGTGTTTGTGCACATTGGTAGTGACAGTTTTTTTTAAAGTTTGTCCTCCGTTTCCATTTGCAGGTGGTATTTTTGAAACCCGGGAGAGTGAGTTAGTGAGTATGGATGAGCTGGCATTCAAGTTTGCTGTAAATAACATAAACCGCAACAAGACCCTGATGCCCAACACTACTCTCACCTACGACATTCAGAGGATCAACCTGTTTGATGGCTTTGAGGCTTCAAGAAGAGGTAGCGACTGAATGCTAAGTGATAACAACATAATCACCTAAATCATTCTGTGAAAAGATAAGTGCTCTGAAATAGTTAGGATAAAAGGAAAATGAGAAATTACAGAGGCTGCAGGTTTAAAGGGATACTATTTTCTCTTATTATCCAGAGTGGGACAATTTCATTCATGTCATTTTGATGTCTGTTTGCAAGCTTAATTACTAGATAGCATACAGGGAATAAATAGCATCTCTGGGTCAGGAAATGCACTTCAAGTTTTTGTAAACATGAGGTGTAGTTATGTATTTATTAAGTTTCTAATTCCATAAAAAATATATTAAGTGGATGGAAAATCTTTTTTTCTCACTTAATTGATAATAATTAATTAATAAGGGAATGTCATCCAGTCCCTGCTGTTTAGAGTTAACAGTGGAGTAATAAGTACCCAGATCATTTACTAGTAGGTAAAAGTAGAACTACCATGGTATAAAAATATTCTAGTACAAGTCCAGAATTCAAAAGTACAAAAGTATTATCAGTTATCAGAATATTATATTATTATTAATAATTCTTATTAACAATGTATTATTCTGTTTGTATCACTAACAAATGTTTTAATGAGCATTTTAATTAGATTTTAATTTAAGGTACACTGTATACTACTGGGTCATATCATATAGGCATATTTTATGTCCTGAAATGAAGTGTGTATATATATATATAT